GACCTCATTAATATGTGGAATCCAAGGGGGGAACGTCGATATTAAACAGGGAGAGGCTGTCCAAAGGGTACAAAATTACGATTAGAGAAGAGGAGTAAACTCTGATGTTCTGTGCACAGTAGACTGAGTACAGTTAACAGTTAAGTTTTGTATGTTACGTCATCGCTAGGAGGAGAGGCTTCTGAATGTTTCCAGCACAAAGAAAGGATAAATGCGACCACTGTTATGAGGTGACTGATACACTAACTACCCTGACCCGACTACTATACAACATATATATGTATCAAAATATCAGATTATACCCCGTAAGTATGTAGAATTACAGTGCAGAAATTAAAATAAATTTTAAAATAAGCAAAGAGTTTAGGCTCTAGTGGGTTTACATTTCCCCAATCCCAAGAAACATTTTGGAGATAGATACTTTCCTAAGAACTACCCTAGAACAACTGTAGGCAAACTCTTTCTCTGGGTGAGCATGACAAAAACCATGCTCTGAAAGAAAGCCAAACGGTAGCCAGTGGTGCCAGCCATCCGGAATGGGCGTGTGAATCAGACATTACCATCCTCCAGAAGGGCATAAAAAAGGTAATAGTCGCTCTTCAGGAGCTGGAGAGAATGAGGACTGTGCATTCCACACAGAGCCCGTACCACAGCCCCACATGGCTGGGGAGAAAGTCTGATGACCCCTGGAAGATGACAGTTGATTACTGGGAACTGAGTAAGGTGATGCTAGCCATACATGGCTGCCGTTCCAAATGGGTCCTGGACTTAGCAAATGCTTTCTGCAGATACTCTTAAATTCAAAGTCTCAGGACATGTTTGCCTTCACCTGGGAAGGCCAACTGTGGACCTTTCAGTTGTTCCCCCAGTGGTACTTACGTAGCCCCACTATTTGCCATGGTCTGGTGGCTAGAGACCTGGCCATCTTAGGTCATATGCCCAGTATTTACTGGGGACATTGTGTGGATGATATTCTGCTAACCTCCCCAGATTTAAGTCTCTTGCAGAAACCTACCCAGGAAGTCCTAGAGCATCTGCCATTGAGAATGGCCTGGCAACCTGCAGAAAGTCCAGGGACCAGAGGCACTGGAAAACTCCTGGACATGGTCTGGTCAGGGCAGGCCTAGGTTTTGCAGATGGCAGTGACTGACAAGACAGTCGTACCAACAGCCCCAAACAGTTTTTTTAAAAAATACAAACCTTTGTAGGGCTGCAATGCTTGCAATTATGTCTGGTAACCAAAACACCATTACCTGTTATCAGGAAACACAGTTCACACGTCCCCTAATCCAAAATTGGGCAAAAACCTCCATACCAGCCAGCCACCAAAACGAAACAAAACAAATTGGGCAAAAAAGAGAGGGCATTACATGGCAATGTTTTCTGCCCTACAACCCACAGAGAAAAGGACTTATAGATATGAGAGAAAATGGCCTCTTAAAGGAACAAATCAAGCTCTTGACAGGACTCCCCTCATTGAGAAATCAGACTGTGGTTTTCATGGAAGCTGTACCTACCTTGAATGAGACCCCAATTATGGGAGGAAATTCTGCTTATGAATGTCTGGTAGATGTCAAGAGCCCAGCGCAAGCCATGTGGGTGTGGGAAATATCAGACACTGCCCTAAGCCTAGAACTCAGTCCCACATGGGATGTTCTGATTGTGCATTCCTCCTGTCCCATAACGCCTGGACAAGGAAGTTTGAGATGGGATCTGGGATGGAAAGTGTCAGTGTCCTTCTTCTCCTGAGGCAGGACGCCACCACCACCCCAGACCTGACCCTCACCTTGCTTGTCAATGAAGGGCCAAGGAGATGCACTGGCGATAGGCAGGCAGTGCCCCCATCCTGATGGGCACTGCGGTGGCATTTTTGCAGTAGATTTCACCCAGCCCTGTCACCATGGAGTCTACAAGGCCTCCCACCATGGGATGGAAGTTCTGGTATAGCTCACCTGCAAGATTTTCAGGGACCCCAAGATTACTGTGGAGGAGTGGGGAGAGGTCTAATACCAGTTTTATTATACAAGAGGGACAGGAAACACCTCCTCCTGTGTGTTCCTAATAAATTGTTGTCTTTCCGCTGTTAGTTTGAGCTGCCTTCTTCTTTGCAGTTATATCATCCCCACTAGTGCATGGATATCCACGGAAAATGTCTTCCTGGTCTGGGCCCATCACACAGCCCATATGCAAAGCCAATCTAACTGCTGGGTGTGCAGTCTTATGACACTGAGTAGCCAAGGAGGAACTCCACGGTGGACTGAACCACTACTGGGCAAAGACTGGATCTCTGTGCAAGCGTGAGTGGGCTGTAACAATGAGCAACCCTGGACACGATGTAACTTTTTCCCTAAACGAGTCCAGCAGGAAAACAACCACCAAAGCAAGAACTGACCTGAAGACCACCGCATCCTGGCAGTGGGGATCATTCTGGCTTTGAGTAGCTCACCCCTACAGCAAAGATGTTCTCCTGGGTTGGGACAGTCTGTTGGGAACAAAGGAGCAACTCTAAAGACACCAGGTATCTAGGGCTCCTTATAACTGCCCTATGCCAGAACTTCTGCCCTGATTTCCCCTGGGGTTGCTTGGACTGTGTGCCCTTGGCTTTTCTTGGGTGCATCCAGAATCTCTACACCATCAACGAGCTCATCTGCAGAGGTCAGTAGAGCAGGTTCATTTATTCTCGATGGGATTGTTACAGAAAGGAGTCGCCAAGGAGACACAGTCACTCAGAGAGAAGGAGAAGTCAATGATTTATTATGCCAGCAGCCCCAGGTAGACTTGCATTCCAAATATCTGGGCATTGAATGCAGAGAGAACAAAGAAGCAAGCGTTTCTATTGGCTCTTTTGGCTGTATCCAGGCAGAATCCCCTAAACTGGGGGTCTTTAGCAGGTGGTTTGACTTTGGGTAGTGGGCTTTACAGAGACAGGGGATGTGGTTGGAGGTGGTTACTGCAATGCCAGCTGGAAAGCAAGTTGGTCTCTCACCTATACAGGAAACTGTTGGCAGGCTGTGGTTTTAGCTAAGTCCCTTGACTCACACAGGAAGACTGAGTGCTGACTGCAGAGCTACAGAACTCAAGCTGCATTTTAGAACACAACTCTAGGTACTTTTCGCATACAGGCAAGTATTAACTGAGAAATTAAAACAAAGGAAGGAAAAGGAATTCAAGTACTTCAGGACCACTTGACTGTATTTGTGCCTCTGGAAGCTCTATTAATATCATGCAACAAGTGAAAGCCCTTCAAAAATTTGTCTCCACAGATTTGAATAACACCGAGCATGGTTTGGAGGCTTGGAATGTTGAAACGGCCACGATGAAGGACAAGGTCCCACTGAATTGAGTTGCTCTAGACACGCTGACAGCTGCACAAGGAGAGCCAGTGCCCTTTTAGAAAACTGAATATTTTGTGTACATTCCAGAAAAAGAAGCTAAAGTTAGTCAATCTCTCTCCTTCATCTATTAAAGCAATTGCAGTTGGTCGACCACATGATGGGTGACTCCTGGTGGTCTACAACAAAATCATAGTTTTAGGAATGGGGTCCTTGGTGGAAAGCTTTAATAATAAGCCTGTTAGAAATCGTGATTATAGGTCTTATAATGTGCACATGTGCTTACTGCTCATGTGGGGTTTTCATAAAGTTAGGGAAAAGGGCTTTGTAGGCAATCCCACCCTTTCCTGTCAGCTCAGGGAACATCGTGGAAAGGGCGAGCTTGTGAGATTATAAGAGCTGGTCAGGGGGGTGAATTGTAGAATCCACAAGGTCCCCCTGCTTTTTCTGTTGTCCTGATTGAGACACACAAGGTGCCTTGACATCTCTGTGACTTGGCCAACTGCATGTTTTACCCTGCAGGCTTGAGCCAAACCAGGACCTTGAACATTCCCATGAACTGACAAAGGGTTGTTACTCAAAACACTGAAAGAAACTGGCCCTGGCACTGAACCAAATTTCTTGTACCCTCATGCAAATGTCATACCCTATCTCCTTGCTGAGGACATACCTAGGTAGAACATTCCTTTCTGTCTCTGTCCATCTCAGGGTCACTGCAGCCCACTCTCAAGTAAACTCCCAAAATAAATGCTTTGGACTGATCACCCTGGTGTTTAGTGCTTCTTTCATTGGAATCCCAACCAACCCCACTTCGATAAGGTTTCAGGGGCTCCCTTAGTGAAAATCCCTTGCTGCCAGTTTGGGAGCAACTCCAGCCTGAGTTCACACTGTGTACCAGACTACAGTGATCCTCAATGTGTTACTCTGGATGGGATCCTGGGGCAAAATAAAGGACTTAGGTATAAAACTAAGTAAATATGAACAAGGTATGGACTATGGAAACTCTCTGTACTCTCTGCAAATTTTCTATAAATCTAAAACTGTTTCAAAATAAGACTTATTAATAAAATTTTTCTATGTCCTTGTGCTTGTTACTGGATTTCTGGTTTCCTCCCATGATGACCCCCAGAACGTTCTTTGAATCAGTTCATAATTGCTCAATATCATCAACCTTTTGATTATCAGTTCCAATGTCTACCTCTCTTTATGAGTCAGTAAATTTCACAACAAACTGATAAGAGATTAATGATTGTTTTGTCTCCACTATAAACTGTGATCCCCCGGCAGCTGCCACCACCTCTGGCAGAGGCTAGAGTTGAAGCCCTAACACCAGGCTCAGAGAGTTCATCATGTCAGAAGACTATTTGTGGTTTGAAGGGATAGCTTTCCCTAAACGGAGTTACAAACCTGAAAGAATTAGAGAAGTACGCGATGAGTTTGTGATGAAGGATGACGATGTAGTAATAGTGACTTACCCCAAATCAGGTAAGAAGACATGACGGTGAACCGAGAAGGCCGTGACTATGTTCCTCATTCATTCAGTAGATGCTGTTGCAGAGCAGTGGGAGGGGTGCGGTGGGGGGCACCAGGCCCACCCCAACTCAGGAGCCCAAGGTACTTCCTGCAACAGGTTGGTCAAAGCTGGGCTGGATGGGGGGTGGGGGAGGGCAGGGCGCATGGCTGAGGCCCTCAGTCCCACCCCCATCAGGTCCTAGGTCCCCTCTCCAGCTCAGGAGGGGCGGGGTGAGGGCAGGAAGCTTCTGGTGGTGGCTTGGTAGCAGCTGGGCCGGATGTATTCTGGGTTTTAAATCAGTGACCTTATAACTCTAAAATGCATGATGCTATACACTAAATTATCTTCAGGAGTTTGGAGAAAGCGGCAGACCTGATATTTCCTATGCTTGTCAGGCAGCACAGGAATGTGTTGCATATAAGAAAAACAGAGCGAGAATTACTAACTTTATTTGCAGTGCAGGTCAATTGGTTCACATAGAAAACATCCACAAACAGATGAGAAACATCATCCAGCAAAATGATCCCATGTGGCTTGTCAGTATTTAGTTTAACAACTTTCTAAGTCACAGCATGATCATTCATTCTGGTCTTAAATTTGAGATTAGACAACTCTCTTGCCTGATGGCGTACTCGCTCATTCGGCAAATACATATGAGATAAATGTTAGGTTCAGTGAGATGGAGAAGAGAGAGAGACCCAAGCTAGGCGCCATTTCAGCCAAAAAGCTTTGTTCCACTAATGTGGAGGGGAGGCTGGGCCAGATCAGTTCCCCCCATCTAAAGAAAGTAGGGGGGTTATAAGAATTTTAGGGAGGGTTCCAAGGAATAGGCAATTTTGAAATCAGTGGTATGTAAGATGACGTAGTCCCTGTGGTCTATGGGACTAGTAGGTGAAGTCATAGGGTAGCATCTCGTAGGTGAAGTCATAGGGTCCCGATGAGCCACTATCTCACTGCACAGTATTCCAGCCAGAAGCCTGCTAGACACAACCCACAAGACATTCCCTTGATGGTAACAGTAATGTTTACCCCTTCCCAGGAGAGGAATCTCAGCCCCTGGAGCAGAAAAGGGAAAGAGGAGGGGGAGAAGGGGGAAAGTTGCTTAACCTGGCTGTGCTGATGTTAAGCTGGCATGAGGCTTGTAATAGGAATCGGGTGTGTCAGGTTATATGCTTTGTGCTGGGGATACAAAAATCTGTCAGCATTAGACCTTTTCTTCAAGAAATATAAAGTCTTTGGCAAATACCTACGAAAATTATAATGCCTTGTAAAATGCCTTGTAACAGAGGTTAAATACGAGGTTTTACAGAAGCAGAGTAACAGAAACAATTAACTCCACGGAAGGAAATTACAGAAAGAGTAATACAAGTGTTGGTAACTGAGTGGGCCGTGAAGGATAAGCTTAGCTGGGAGAGGACACCGGGTACAAATATGGTGAGTAGACACCAAAGCAGGCAAGTGGGTAGCATATCTGAGGAACCAAGCGGTTTGTTTTATAATTATCCTGTTACTGATATTTAGATATGAACACCATCATTTAATGAATACGTGTTTAATGTCTATATTTGACATAATGAATCTGGAAATGCCTTGGAGATTTAAAAGTTTCAACCGGAATCTACAGTAGTCTTTTAGTCTCATTGACATAATCAGAATACTCCAGAAATACTTGCAGTCTGGTTTTTATTTCATAATCTAGACTTTAAATGGATACTACCCCTGGCCAAGGTAGTTTACCCAGGGAAAGGCACGTCTCCTTTAAGACAAATGGGGAACTGTAGGAAGCTGGAACCCTGAGTAGATTAATTAGCATGTAAATGGAGTTAGTACACTCATGTTAACTACTCTGGCTCCAAGAAGGCAGCAAGTAAGTTAACTTATATACTCAGTCAGATCTCCTGCAAGCTCTGAGTTGGGTGAGGGGCACACCAGCATGCAAATGACTTACACCTCTATTTTGATCTGATTACTACATAACTGTTGTATGTAGCCCGTGGCTGCGTGGATTTCTAGCTGGCCAGCCACCATCAGCACCAACTGTAAGTCTAATAAACCGATGTCTCTACCACAAAAAAAATAGCACATTTAAATTTGGAAAGTAAATTTGAAAGATGTGTGCCACAACAAAATAAACAAATATTCTTAGCATTGTTTAAAAATTATCACATTAATATAATCATCATTATCAACCAGACATTTTATTCTATCAGAATTAACTGCTTCGGGCCGGCCCGGTGGCGCACTGGAGAGTGCGCCGCTTGGGAGCGTGGCGGCACTCCCGCCAAGGGTTCGGATCCCATGTAGAGACCGGTTCCCGCTCACTGGCTGAGTGCGGTGCGGGCGCAACACCGAGGGTTGCAATCCCATTACTGATCAGTTAAAAAGACAAAAAGGAAAAAAAAAAAAAGAATTAACTGCTTCAAGGAATGCCATGATTTTTTTTTTTATTGATTATGTATATTCATGGGGTACAAAGCTGACTGTCAGCACCTGTGCCCAAGATGTGATCAGATCAATACCACCAGCATGCCCATTACCACAAATTGCAATTATTCCTCATGTCTCTGCACCCAGTTATTTCCCAGCATCTCTCCA